TAAAACATGTAATACAATTCATAGCACAAAAGCATATAAGTCACATGTAATATGGTTATTGTTATCTCTTTATTAGCCCATGTACACATGTGAGAACTGTAGAAATGTGAGTCTATAGAGGTTGTGCACTAATGTTGTCACCATAGCTCATATAAATACACCAAAGTGCCACGTAGAAATGCAACGAAGTGCCGCGTAGAAATGCACTGAAGTGCCACGTAGAACTGCACCGTAGTGCCATATAATGTCCATAAGGACCACATATAAATTCCTTAAGAATCATATACATATACCAAGGATCAAGTAGGTTTCTCAAAAGACCTCATACATGTTCTAAAGAATACATATATGTCCCGAAAGATCGCATAGACCCTCGACTCTTGGCATGCCAACTATACCCCTAGCTCTCATGACACATAACATGGGCATTAACATTTATGTCATTTCACTTATTCATATATACATATAGTTCACTCACGCGTAGAACATTTTTATATAATTCACATTTACATGTCACATAGCTTATATTCTTTCTCACGTAGTCACATAGATCCATGTCATATAATATATATCCAAAGTGCATAGAATTGCGTAGATCATATCATATAGCTTAGATCATTTCTTAGATGTTCATGTAAACCTACATATCATATCTTGTTTAGATATAATCATATATACTTCATATAGCACATAGAAACACCTAGAACACTTCCACATAGCTTATATCAATTTTTCGAGTCCTTTCATATTACTTGATAACATATATCATATATGTATATAATAACTTATGTCATATCATCTACCTTATGCTTCATTTCTTTGTATTCCTTTAGATTACATAAACTATGTTGTATTTCTAAACATATATCATTTAATAATATTTTATTTATATATTAATTTAATCTATTTACTTAATTCAATTTCATATATTCCTTATAACCTTTTCATATATCTCAATAAATCTTTAGCATATAACTTATCTTATATATTTGTATCATCCTTTTTATATTCAAGTTTCCTAATTTATATACTATTCACATTTCATTCTATAATTCAATCTTATTTAGTTCTCTTAACTCTTATTAAAATAAAAAGTTCTATTATACTATTTCACATAATGGATCATACCACTATGTACTTGTCCAACTCATGTTTCTATTAAGCATATACTGTTACACATGTTTATCTAGTTCCTATCACTTCTCATGAACTCATTTTCATCATATTTTCCTATTATTACATATTTTATCTTATAAACATGTATTCACATAGTCTTATATTTCATTATCATATGACTTATATTTGTTCTCCTATAACTCTTCATAGACATCTATTTCTATTTCCATATATCACTTGATCGATCTTCTATATTCTTATAATTTCATAACTTATTTTATATTCTCTCATTAACACTTAATAGTGTTTTTATATAAACCACATAGCACATACAAAACATATCAATTCATATAGTCAAACATACATACACTTCATGTTGTTAACATACTTATGATCAAGACTTAATGAGCTATTACTATAGGAAATAGACTTATCTCAAGTCCAATTTCCATATAATCTTATAAAAATAAACTGCACTCACCTTGGCCTCCCTACGTTCCAATCCACTTATGATTTACTCTCTCTCGATCGAATCTTAACTTGATAATCATTCCGGAACTTGTTCATGTTCGATATCTACATAATCACACATTGATACATATTAATATCCAATTGATATACTCTAATATATCATTTCTTAGACCAAAAGAAAGGTCTATTTCTATTTCCCCTTTGAAGTGCATCGATACATTCTATAGTGCATCGATGCATTCTTTAACATGTGCATCGATGCATTACCCATGCATCGATACACTAATCACCTTCAATGTTTTCATTTTAAGGGGGTGCATCGATGCACTCCTTATGCATCGATGCACTAATTGCATTCGATGTTTCTTCTTTAAAGAGTGCATCGATACACATTGAATGTGCATCGATACACCTTGCCTAGAATTTGCATTTTAAGCCCGAAAACCATCAACTTTTCACTCAATTCTTCTATTTTAAGCCCCTATCATGTCATTAAACTCAATTACCATTACTTAAACCAACTTATATCCACATAAACCATCTTTATCTTCCATATCTCATCATGATTCTTAAAATTTAAGAATCTTACTAAATTTTCAACTTTGTTATTAATCCTTTCTAACTTCATAAATCTCTTATTCTTATTGATGGCAAGTCAAATTCAACTTTCAATTCTTATTATAAACTCTACTTCAATATTTCACTCAAGAACTCAAAATCTTTAATCTTCCTTAACTCCTTTATCTTTTGATTTTAAGATAACTTAAGCTTTCCTTAAGCTTAGTTATCATCTAATAATAATAACCCAACCTTAAATTTAACCAGCAATTATCTAAATAGAAGACTCACCTTTTGTTCAAGCTTTCACGTATGAAGAAGGAAGAAGAGAAGAGAACTCTGGAATCTTTTGATTTCTTCTCCCTTCCACCCACATGTATATATAACCATATTTAGTTATTTTCCTTGCAAATGACCCTTTTGCCCTTCAATTCATCTAATAATTACTAACAACTTTTATGATTTATTTCCAAATAAATCATTGAACTAATCCATTGTTCTACTCTAGTCACCAAATTCTGAAACTTTATAATTTGATCACTAACTCGTTATTGAGGATGTTACATTCCCACTGGCACCAGAGCCACCGAACAACGACCAAATCATCGTCGAGCCACCGCAGAGTCACCAACGAGCCACCAATGGTCATTGATGTTATCACTTACGCCAAATATCACTCACAAGACAAAACAAAACAAACAAATAAAGCTCTGGTTTGGGAAAGATAAAGAAAAAAAAGGAGAGGAACAGAGATTTCAGTTGGAGTGTCTCGAACAAAAAAAGGCTCTGGTTTGGGAAAGATAAAGAAAACAATGGAGAGAAGTCGCCTTGGTGAACCGTCGAAAACATCAAATGTCGCCGAAGTCGAAGAAACCGAAACGTTTCTTCGTAGATCTCCGGCGTTTGGAACTACTTCGGGCCAAATAAAGCCCGGATTCATACTCGTGGCTAAAAATCAATTCGGTAGCATTATTTTCTCTTTCCTCCGGTGCCGGCGGACGGCGATCGCAACCAGTCATCGGTGGTCGGCACGACAGAGGATCACTGGTTCTTGAGAGTTCTCTAGAACTCTCTCACTTCTCTCTCTTTCTCTCTTTCATGCAGAGAAACAAATGAGGAAACATGTGGGTATAAGCCTGTTTGGGGCATATATATATATCAAATGAAACGATATTGTTTCATAAAAGACTCAGTGAGCAAACCTCGCGAATGGGATATCTACGAAATAGGTCCTCTTTATCTTGTATTTTTTTAATTTAGTCATCAATGCAATTTTAATATATTTTACTTTGATCTCTTATTTTTGTGTATGTTATAATTTAGTCATATTATTATATAGTTTGTTAATATTTGAATTTGTTCATATGATTTGTAAATTTATCATTTTAGTCACTATTTTATAGTTGATTTATTTATGATGGGCTTCATGTTTTTGTTTATTTCAGTTTAGTCCTAAATATTATTTTTGGGTTATTTTCTATTTCCAGTACCTGAAATGTTTAATATTTATAATATGGGTTATAGTTTATTTGTAATTACTGGTTTAGTCATTTTAGTTGTTATTTTTTTTACTATTTAACTCTTTAAGTTTCTATTTTTTTTATTTTAGTCTTTTAAATGTCTGTTTTTGTTATTTTAATAATTTAACTTTCTGTTTTTTTTTATTTTAGTACTTTAAATGTTTATTAATATCATTTTAGTCTTTTGAGTTTTTCTAATTACTATTTTAAAACTTAAAAGTTTATGTTTTTGCCATTTTAATCTTTTAAATTTCATTTTGTGATATTTGGTCTTCAAAATTTCTATTTTTACTATTCTAGCTTTTTAAATTTTTGTTTGTTCTATTTTAGTCTTTTAATTTTCTATTTTAAAACTTAAAGTTTTTGTTTTTCTCTATTTTGGTCTTGATAAATTTAAGTACATATTTTCGCTATTTGTATTTAGGTTTGTAATATTTATTTGTTCTTATTTCAGTCCTTTAAATTTCCTCCTTTAAATTATTAATTTGAAGCAATTAATTAATATTCAAGAAATAGATCATATTTTAACTTGATATTTAATTCAGTATTTCCACCATTACGACAATGAGTAAGCGACACAGTACCAATTTTGGGCGCTGTGGGGGTGCTAATCCTTCTCCACGCGTAACTGACTCCCGAACCCGTTTTAATCGAATCTTTGGTAAACGCATATCAGCTTTTGTCTTAAAAAATGATTTTTTTCTTAAAATTGTTTTTAAAAGACTTTTTAGGTATTCGATCTACCTAACCCAAAGGTTGATGGCGACTCCTTTCAATTTTATCCAATTTAATTTAAAATCACTCATTTCTAAAATTAAAAGTCGTAATCATTTTTTAAACAATAAACAATTGTTTCCAACCTAAAAAAATGGTTATGAAACTTCCTATATTTTGATTATCTTGAGTTATTTTGATGATATCAGTTTGTACAGTTTTGAATTCATACAAACTTGAATGCTTATCAAATGAAGTAGTAGCACACTATCTTTTCTGTGGTCATTACGGTGTCTCCATTGCAACTTACCGGAGGGGAAAATATTTGTTCATTATTTTTTTACTGCTTTTTCCTGTTCATTATTTGCCTTAGTTTTTATTTACTTTAGTCGTAATTCTATATATTTTTTCTTTTATTTTCTAACATCTTTGTAGGTAATCACCAACATATATATATATATATATATATATATATATATATATATATATATATATATATATATATATATATATATATATATATATTTTGCATCAATGAGAGGGACCAGCATGTTGATATTTAGATAGGAATGCATGGATGTAACTTAGGATCCGATGTCTTAGTAGATGCCGAGGTTGATATCTTTGCAGGGGGTGCTGATGGTGGAGTTGGGATTGGTGTTAATACCTCTCCACGTAGACCAGCCATCGAGAAGGCTCAAGCAGAGCTGAGGTGATACTTACATACCACTTTTGTGTACTAATGCCCAACTAAACTTCATTGGAATTTTATAGTTAACTATGGAAACTGTTGTTTTGTTTGTGGATTATTTACGAAACACTATTCACTGAAAAGGTTTATGGCAGGTAGTGGGTCGATATGGTGAAGTTCTTAGTGTCTATATTCCAAAAAAGAAGAGTCAAGCAGGAACAAGGTTTGGTTTTGTTAAAGTTAGTAATTTGGTTGAAGCAGAGAGAGTTAGGGATCAAATGAATGGTCTTATGGTGTATGGAAGTCGATTATCTGTGAGTTTTTCCAAGTATATATCGAAGGATCTTAAGAATAATAGGTTGCAAAGTAAGTTGGCCTGGAAATCAAAAATTGCGAGATCTCCATTATATGAAAAATCTAAAAGTATGTTGGATGGTCAAGAGGGTGCTTCAAGAAAGGAAGTATTGGGTCATGTTGATGAGGAGGAAGTAAGAAAGTTGAGGAGATGTTTGGTGGGTGAAATGGCTGGTGTTTGTAGTGTGGGGAGTATCGTTGATAGATTACATAATTGGGAATTAGGGGAAATTAGAGTTCAAAGATTACGTGGAAATTTCTTCCTGCTTACCATAAAGGATGAAGACTTGTATTTCATGTTGGAAGACCTCCAGTGGTCGTATTTGAAGGAGATTTTTATGGATGTTAAGCTATGGACAGAGTCTTTATGCCATAAGGAAAGAGTTGTATGGTTAGAGATAGATGGTTTACCACTGCAATGCTGGAATGAAATCATTTGAAAAGGTTGGTTGGTTTGTGGGGTAAGTTTGAAGCTTATGGTGATAATGTTAAACATCATTTAGATTGTGAAAAAGTTAATATGATGATATCAACTAGGGTGGAAGCCCAAATTGATGAAGTTGTAGATGTGGTGGTGGAGAATCAGAAGTTTGGTGTTCGAGTTCTCGAAGTTAGGATGGTAGATAACTTGATAGCGAAATTGTCTATTTTTAAAAATAGCAAGAATAAACAGAATGGTTGAGAAGGTTGGAAAAGAGATTGGGGTTGTAAAAGATGGAGTTGCATCGGAATATCTTTCCGATGAAAAGTCGAAGGCGTATTCGTCGGGGTGTTCAACGGAAAAAAAAGGGACTACGAAAATTACCGACGCATTTAATGTTTCGTGCACTGGAGATAACCTAGGAGATTGTAGTCATAATTGTGGTGGGAAGCCGATCGAGGGTGAATGTAGTCTCAAAGAAGGAAAAGAGAGTGATGGTTTTCAAATTCAAAATCTTTCTATACAGGAGGGTGTCCAGGGAGCGAGTGATGTAGGGGTAGAGTCCAAGGCGTTAGGTACTGATGAGGTTATTATAATCAACGATGGGGTTTCAATGTTGAATGATAGAGATAGGGATGTAGGGGATGTTTTAGGTGTCGCAGAAATTGGGCTTCCTAATCATTGTAATAAGGCTATTGAGGAGTCATCAGGGATGGGCTTATCGGATGAAGGCTTTATGGATTTTAATTGTGTTAGTTGGTTGGCGTTAGGGGAGAATAATGAAGGAATCAAAGTGGGCAATTCTAATCCAAGTGCTATAGGAAAGTCATATGCAAAGGAGATAAAAATTAGTGAGCATTTTGGGGGAGATTGTGGAGAAGAACCGGGCGTGCCAAAATTACCCTGGAGTAAAAATAAGGAATCGAAGAAATTCGGTTCTCTTATGGATATTCAGGACAAAGTCCTATCGAAAGCGGAGAGAAAAAGAAGAGATCGGTCGTTGAAGAGATTAAATTTGAAGAAGTCTGATCTTATATTCTCTAAATTATCAGGGAGATCTCTTTCGGATTCTGATTTAAAGAGAAGAAAGGCAGATGCATATGTTGAAGCGAAGAAGACGTTGGTATTAGGTAAGATTCTTGGTATTAAGTTTGTTGGTTCTGAAAGTGAGGTTATTAAGGATTTAGAGTCTTTAGAACTGTGTTGAGGTTGGTGTGAAATTGTTAGGGGAATCGGAGGTCATAGCGTTTGATATATGAGGTTTTGTCGTTGTTTTTTAGAAGAGCTGGTGGAGTTATTTATAAATGTTCTTAGTGATAGATTTAGTACATCGTTTATATTTTAGACTGTATTGTTTAGTGTCTAAGTTTCTATTATGGTTTCTATTGTTGAGAAGGAAGATGAGTGTTGGCGGCTTGATGAAGAGTTCGAACTATTGTCACCCGAGTTGGATCTGGTGATTTTCTATAATAGTAAGATTTTTGTTCTGAATATTAGGATCTTTGTTCTTCTGGAAGTTGGATTGTTGTGGACGGTCTTGATTCGTTGACCCATATGGTTTTCAAGGTTTAGTTGTCAGTATGGAGGGTGAATTGTAGTATTGTAGGTGGTTCCGTGGAGGTTAAAGTTAGATCAAATTGGGTTCTTTTATGGGTATCAATCACAATATAGTTTCAAAGAACACTGTTTTTTTTCTTATGAATTGCAAAGTGATGATCGTTCTGGTTGAATGTGTTTTCTTTGATTTCAAAAACTAAAGTCAACACTAGCTTCAAGTTTGGTGTGGACTCTTCATTGGAGGCTTTAAAGATTTGGATTCTTGTGAAGGTAGTCTGGTTTGGTTCTAAGTTTCAGTTTACTGCTGGATTTTTCAGTGTAATATTGCGGTACTTGAATCTTCTTTGACAATATTCTGTCTGGTTCCATACTCTGGTATTACTGGCTATGTTATTGTTGTCTCTGCATGAGATGATGGTGTCGAGGAAGTCTTTTCGATTGATTTTGCTTTATTGGTTTTTAGTTTTTTTTGTCTTGATGGATGTAAAGTTGTAATGTTCTGAGATGGATGTTTTGGTTTCTGTTTTTGGGCAACAGTGCTTGTTGTTGTTCTCTTATGTAGCATTCTTTTACTCCAATTTGTTTTAGGGAGATTTTTAATGAGGCTCATAAGGTGAACTTTGTCTTCTGCTTAAAATAAATTGATCCTTGCCGAGCACAAAAAAGAAATTATATCAGAGAAGAGTATAATTTTCGTGAGGAGAGGAGAAGGGAATTAGAGTTTCTAGAGAAAGTATGTTTTTTTATCTTCTCTTTCTTCTGATTTCTTATAGATTAATATTCATCATAAAACACATTGCTATCAGGGTGGAAATCCCTTGGATTTCAAATATGGCAATGCAGCTTCTGTTAGTGTCCTATCTACTTCTCTCACTGATCAGCAAGCACAATATTTTGCAACCAGGTATATTCTTTTTCTTTTGTGTTGCAGAACCATAGTTCTGGTTTTTATATTGGATAACTAGCTGATGCTTATCTTACCAATTATTGATACAGTGAAGCGAAAGGTAGTTTTGCACCTACTGCCTCACCTCACGGTGATTCTGTAGAGAGTAGTGGTAGACCAGGGGTTCCCTTGGCTTGTGAACCCAATAGTGCCGATAATCTATTACTTTTTGATGGTGAAAATGAGTTGCCTGAAGGTGAAAGAAGTCCGTACATCCTTGTAATACTGTTGTTCTATCAGATCAATCTTCACAGAACTGCTAAGGAGTCAGAAGATTCAACTGTTTTTCGCCCCTATGCTCGAAGGTACAGGTCCAAAATTAAACGGGATGGATCTCGATCAAGTTCTACGGATATTGTTCAAGGTCGAGGTGGTCATCGCTCTTCTTTTCCTGCTCATGGAGCATCAAAGGATGTGAAGGTTTTGACATCTGAACCAAATAACCAAACAGACGAGAACCTATCCTCTGTTAATACCACAAAATCTGCAACTTCTAATGATGATTTGGCTTCAAAGGTGATAACTTCTGATAATCAATTGAATATGGAGGTGAATGGTGGGAAGGCTGCGGAAGAAACGTCTGGCCTATCAAAGGGTGATCTATGTGAAAGCAAGGTTGATGTCGTAGTTTCAAAAGCATTGATAGATGACCTGCCTAAGGAACTTGTTCACATGAAAGCTCATAGATCTCCAGTTGGTTCAGCTTTTGAGGAACCTAATCTTGTTGGAGGGAAGGAGCAGGTAGTTTCAGCCAGCCTTGAATGCCCACCTGGTGTAGGTGCAAGAAAAGCTGAAAATGAAACTAATTCTCATCAGCTAAATGGGTTTGGTGATACCAAAAGAGATGTTAAAAACATACCAAATGAAGGTCAAAATAGCAGTGTGGCAATAGGGACTAAGGGCTTGGATTCAGAGTCATCTTGCACAAAAAACAGCTTAAACTTAGGTGTAAATGACGATAATGATGTGTATATTGATCCGAAAAATGTCGATTCTAATGGAAAGCCCTTGGAACAAACATCAGAAAAGAAAGAGTCACTGAACTTAGCTGTTGGTGAATTGACAAAAGTAAAGAATGAGATCAAGGCTGTTGATAATGATGCTAATACTTCCATTAATCAGGATCACTTTCTTAATGATTCCACTGTCAAAGTGGAGGAAGAAATAAGATCTGAATTGCAAAACAAGGTAAGTTGTTCTTCCGACAAGGAGGTGATACAAAGCACTCATTGCTGGATCAGAAACTGATAGGAAAGTTAGTACTGTGCAGGGGGTAATTCTATCTCCCAACATGTAAAATGTTTTGGCTAGTAGGCCCCAAGGCACGATGGATAATTCTGTTTGTGAGATTCCTGAGAGGAATATGCTAGGGATAACCTCTACTGCTAATGCTGATACTCAAAATAATTCAGATAATCATGTAAAAGTGGTGAATAAGGCACTTGAAGATTCCATTTTGGAAGAAGCACAGATAATAGAGGTGGTTTGCTTATCATTTTGATTGATATGTGCCTATTAATTTCTTATATTTAGATGTATTTTACTTTTTTCTTTGAAAAGCTTAAAGGTTCTGGTATTATGGTAAACAGACTAAGCAGAAAAGGACTACAGAGCTATCTGTTGGTACTTTAGCTTTGGAAAACAGCCAAAAGTCTCACTGTTAGCGTGCTAAATCAGCTAATGCAGTGTGTACATTAGCAGTACACTTAGAAGCTTCCTGATGTTGAAGCTGTTATAACAGCTAAGGTTTTTAGCAAGTTAGTTTTGGTTAGTTGTTCAGTTAAGGTGGTTGTATTAGCAGCTAAGAGCAGTAGTATATAAGGAAGCTCAGTTGGTAGAGCACAAGGTTCTAAACCTTGAGGTCGTGGGATCAAGTCCCACGGAGGGCATTTCATAATTTGGAGGTCTCCTACGGAAGCTGCTCTCAACCTGGTGTTGGGGGCAGCCTACTATCTTACCTCCCCCTTACCCCATACATATGGGAAAAAAGGGACAGCCATTTTTTATTAGCAGCTAAGAGCAGTAGTATATAAGGAGCACTAATCTTGTACTCATATATGCATTCACAGTATCAATAAACCAGTCTATATTCTTCTGTTTACCCTACTTCTAACACTCACTGGGACTTTGTTCTGAGGAAATGGCATGGTTAGCAAATGATTTTGCTCAGGTATTATTATTTTTAACTATATATTAAATTCATCTTATGCATCCCCACCCCAAGATTGAGAGCCTTTAGTGTATTTGTAGATGAAGTTGGGTACGAAATATAGTTGACGGTTTGCCTCTAATCTTCCCGTTTTTGTTCTTTATATGCTTGTAGGAGCGTCTTTGGAAGATGACTGTTGCTGCTCAAATATGTAGACATGTTGCTCTTACTTCTAGATTGAAATTTGAAGAAAAAAATCGGTATTGGGAACTAAAAAAAATAGCTTTAACCCTTGCTAATGCTGTCATGGACTTTTGGCATTCAGCAGAGCTGCTTCTAAATAGTAAGGATGATACATGTTCTGAAGGGGAGGGACTTCAATCTTCTTTTTGGAGGCCAGTAAAGCCCTTGAGCATCGAAGGTAAAACGTTACCTTCTCGTTTTTTTAGGCTAGAGATTCAGTAGTATTGGGGTTCGAAGGGATGAGAGATTGATGTTTAGGGCTCATTTTGGGGTTGATTTAAGGTCTTGGTGGTGTTAGGATTTGTTTCAAGGTCTAGGGGTTGAAGGAGGCCATTGGTGGTCGCTAGCTCTTCGTCGGAGCCGGTGAGTGGTGGTCGAGAGTCTGTTATTCATCTGCCTTTAATTTTGTACATATTGAATTTGTGTTTGATTAATTCCTTTGCTCTGTTATATTCGGTTTGCCTATCTGCACTCTTTATAAAGGTTTTACCAAATGTACATGTGAATGAATAACGACTTTGAATTGGTAACAGGAGAGACAAGGTCACCTTGAATGTGTAGGACTTGAGTCAGGGACTAGCTCGACAGCTTTCCATGAACTTATTAGGAAAGGTTATTGGGGGAATATGGTAAGCATTTGTTTGAGGGGCAAGTATCTTAATGTGAGTTTTTCTGAATGAAATTTTTTAACCACCTGGGCCCAGCCGACCACTTCCATTGTACAAATGCAAATTAAATGTTGTTTACCGTTGCATTGCTTGCTATACTCATTTTCCGATTGGTTTATTATGTTTGCTTGATAGGCACACTGGTAGTGAATACTTTTTTGGCGAAGGAATCCAACACATTCCTGCTGGCAAATCGATTAGAGTGATCGAGTTAGGTGTCACTCCTGTGCCTAAAGATGTGTTTAAGACGTATTTACAGGAGATTACTCCTCGTTACGCAGCCGGCACATACAGTCTGCTCACCCGCAATTGTAACAACTTCAGCAATGCTGTTGCTTAATTTCTAGTCGGTTCCAGCATCCCAGACTATAATATTGCAGCTTCCAAATGAAGTTATGAGCAGTCCAATGGGGCAACTCTTAAGTAAGTTATTATTGTCTGTTTTTAGAATTTGTTTCATTCCTTTTATTTCGTCTTTGAAGTTGGACAAGTTTTTTAACCCTTTGCAGGCTAGTTATGATTTAATACCGTTAGTACTTTTACATATTGTGGGATTGACTTAGTGAGTGCTCCTTTAGCTACCTGTTGGTTAGTTAAAAGTGTTAGGAGCTACTTTTCGAGGTTTGAAGTTTGAACTTAAACATGCAATGCTAATAAGAATGTTTTGTATGTTCATTATACAGTGCCGTGGTACAAAATCTAGAGGCAACTTTGAGGCCAATTCAGGCCATCTGTTTCTGCTCAGCCCTCAAGTGCTAGTGTTAGCAATTCCGCTGGTAATGCTAAGAGAGACGAGGTTGACAGTAAGTCGAAGGTCGCTGAGCAACCAAACCATGCGGAGGCAAAGACTTCAGAAGGGACGGTATCTGCCAAACTGACTAGGGCACGGGGAAAATCAACAGACCCTCTCGGGGACGCTCGAGCCAAGGTCCAGGAAGATATCTGCCGTGAATTTGCTGCAATTATGGCTGCCGGAACATTACGTGCTTGTGAGGCAGCTGCCTGGCAACTAGGAAAGTGAACGGGAAAGTGATTTATTTGGATCCTACTTGTATGTTGGCAAAATTTGGATTTGGGACACCTGTTAGGAAGGCTGAAATAAGTCGACATACAACTTTGTTTTCAATTTTAGTAGAAAAATCAGTCAAATTATTTAAAGGTTTTAGTGTTTATGTTGATGCCTTTTTGTTCTCCTGTGACACGGTAGCATCTATCTATTACATATAAAATACAAAAAAAAAAAAAAAACATAAAGAGCACGGTAGATGTGTTGTTCTCAATATTAGACAAATTTTAGTTTTGGGCCCTATGTTATAATCTTACTTAATATTTCGTATTTTTAATCTAGGGTAAAGTATATAAATGATATCTCATATTTAGGATGTTATTTTGTTGAGTTTTTTTTATTAGAAATTATAAAATGGTTATTCGGTTATTTATATGTTAAATTTATCCTTTTTAATTTAAAAAATTAATAATCTTTTGAATAATGATCCATTGACTATAAGATAGTGCTTTAGTAAGTTTCCTGACTATTAAAAGTTATAAAATAGTTCTCCGATTATAAGGAGTTTCTTTGTTGAGTCCCTTGACTATTAAAAGTTACAAAACGGTCACAACTATTCCTTATTTTCCAAACTCGTCATTTTTCGTTAAAATTTTGAGGACAGTCTGAGCTGCACGTATACCTAATAACTGAGATATAATAAAATCTGATCTCATAATCTCAAATGACTATCATATCATAAGCTGACCGTTAAATTTTTAATAGAAAAAGACGAGTTTGAAATATAATGAATAGTCGAGTGATTATTTTGTAACTTTTAATAGTCGAGGGACTCAATAAAACAACTCCCCACAACCGATGGATCATTTTATAACTTTTTAATAACTCGTGTTTTGTTAGTAAATTAAACCATTTTAATCAAAATATTGTTCCAACTTATGAAAGGATACACAAATAATATATTTAAGCACATAAAATTCTTTGAATTTATTGGGATCTACATAAATCAGTTAATTTTTATGTAAATTGGAAAATGAAATAAAAGTCATAATGTAGAGTTGATCTTCATTAGCTTGTGGTGTTACACTTGAACATTTCAGATCATTAACATTAATATACAAAATAGTGGCTGTGGAGTTTTCCTTTCACATGTTCAACCCACCAAACTTCACCTTCTCCATTCCATCACCCTCGTAGCTCCAGCACCACAACTGTCCAAAATAATACAAACATTATAAATTATAAATCATATATATATATATATGTGAAAGAAAATATATAAGATTTTCAGACGCGATCGCTTTCGGCCGCACTCCTCAATACATGAGTGGTTATATATATGTGTATAGGAGGAAGAGCCTCACATTCAGAGTCTGTAGTTATCCAATTCCCTCTTCTTGTAGAGCAACGATTCAAGCCGTGTATAACCGTTGAATTCAACGAAACCAAGTTGCAGGCTTCATCGTTTCTTAACGAAATCCCAGAAATGGAAGAAGAAACAGTGGAGCAGCTCTCCGCTTCCCATCTAAAACTAATCTTCGGAGACTCGCTGCTACTGAGTCGTCCACCATTAACCTACAAAAAAAAATTATACACTTCCTCAGCCACTAAAACAACAAAGATTCAACCAACCCAAATTTCTTTCCTTCTTTTTTAACTTACCTTTTTGCTCAACTTTTTCTCCGATTTGGCCGAAGCAGCCCATCTCAACAACTCCTTCATACGAGAAACGGGTTTGGGTTTTTTTGTCTTTCTTCGATGACGAGGCTGCAACTTGAGCTTCACTCAGCGGCGACACTTTGCTGGAATCCGATTTGTGACTAACAACCACCAATCCTTCTCTCTTCATCTTCCTTATGGCTTGGGAATGGGATTGTTGATGTGTTGAACGAGAGCTGTCGACTTTTAACAAATAGATACTACTGTAAAAGCAAGCCTTTGCAATATCTTTATTGCTCACAAATATAAGTGGCTTAAAATTCTTACTCTTTGATCTACTCTTCTTATTATTCTTAGACCGGACTATTTCTTTGGGTTTATCTTCTTGATCTGAAAAAATAAATAAACAATAGAGACAACATTTGCTAATCAATAAATCCAGCCATTACAGCAAGAAAAAGGTAACAATGGCCTTTTTTTCAAGACATGATGCTAACATTAGGCCAACTTTTATTAATATGATTATTTTGGATTTTATATTTTTTTAGCATGTTAACCTTTAACATTTTAACTTGAGGTAAAAATGTCTGGATAAAAATCTTTATTTAACAAACTGTTAACGCTCAAAATAATAGAGATTTTTTTTTATCTAAAATAAAACATTAGAGAGCAAAAATGCACTAGAAAAAATAAGGGTCAAAGTGATCATTCAATCAAATATTAGGGATTTTTTTATATTAAAATAAAATGTTGGGAGTCAAAATACTATAAAAAGAATAGGGACCAAAATGATATTTTAATAAACATTGGAGGCTAAAGTTAGCATTATGTTTTTTTTTTTTTTTAAAAACTCGTTCAGATAACTGGTTTTCCGTACCTTTACGAGTGGTATTATTTTGAACTCCTCGTTCATCAGCTGCCTTAAAGAGCCACTGAAAAATCTGGTATAAATTGACAATGAGGGATTTTATATATGCTTTTCCAAGACAATGCAACTCGATTATGTTATATGATTCTGAGTTCAAACCTCACCTGCATGATTTTTGTATTTGCTTGTGAAAAAAACTGGTGTAGTATTGAAAGACAGCAAAATCTTGGTCAAAATAGACAGCTTCCACAGATCTATCTGGTTCTGTCTGTATGTTTCTTTCAAAGATTCTTTGTTATAAAACAAATGAGGCACTTGGGGAGATGAAGACAAAGAAATTTAAGGATCTAGAGGAAGATTGTAAGAGACAACCGAGCAGATCGTGGGAAAGTGTTGGCTACTTACTTGGGTTGAGATTTCATAGTAACATGGGGATCGTTATTTATACAAGAAACCAACATATTGGTCCATGTGATGGAGTTTTTTTAGAGGAGAGATTTAGTATTAATTAAGAATCAGAATGTGCGTGTTGGCATTTGTCTTTGCCATACAATTGTACGACTACAGTTCACTGATACTTTACATCAAATTCCTAACATGTACCAAAGGAAGATATTATATTAAAGGAATGAATTAATAAAATTTTAAGGAAAATGAAGTTATAAAATTTTAGAGTTAAAAACATCTTTTTAATCAAAAATAAAAAAAATTCATATATAAAATATATATAAGAAAGTGAAAATTTTAGGGAGATCCCCTCACTCCATCACTATAGTAAAACTGTTATGTAGCGGTGTTTTTATACAAAACGTCGCGACAATAGTAGTTTAGCTGTGTTTTTATACAAACGCTGCAATAGGTTCATCCTTAGTGGCATTTTTTCAACAAATGTCGTGACAGAGTAGAACTTTAGCGGCGTTTTTACACAAATTCTGTAATAGGGTTCATCTATAGTGGCGTTTATTCAACAAACACCGCAACAAAATAGTACTTTAGCGGCGTTTTTACACAAATACTGCAATAGGGTTCATCTGTAGTGGCGTTTATTTAATAAACACCGCAACAAAGTAGTACTTTAGCGGCGTTTTTTTGTCATCCATAGTTCAGTGCTTTAACGGCGTTTGGGTTTAAAAATGCCGTAAATTTTAAAATTTTTATCTCCCTAACCCTTCAGCCCGATCTCGCTTTTTATTTTTCCTAACATTTTCTGCTCCCCGCCGTTTGCAAAGACCCAACAAATCTTTTGTTGATTGGAGCCGTTTGACACCGTCGTGACCTTTACTGCCACACCCATCATGATTCCGTCGTTGTTTTGAGTATCACTGTCACTGTTTGACGCCGTTGTGGCCTCTCTATCACCGTCAAGGCAATTTTTAAATTCCGAAATTTGAATGGCGTTCGTGTTTTCAAGCATTAGTTGGATCATTAAATTTAAAAAATATATGTTTTTGTTAAGTTACCCTCTACGTCTTGATTCTGCGTTGAATGGCTTTTGTGACCATTTCTTGTTCGACACTTCCATTAATGGTAGTGCTTTCATTCGTCTATTACTAAGAAACATGAGAAAATATGTAGGTTTAGGCTACCCATATATATGTGTGTGTGTGTGGCCATTGTTGATTTAAAGGTTTTGATCTGCATTGTGAAATCTTTAACTCTTTAGCACAGTATTCTAATGTGGTCACCAAGTTAATAGATTGTTGTTTTTGTACATTTTTCTGGCTGCATTTTAGTCATATGATTTATGTCGCAGGTTGAGGTCACACTAATGAATTCAAAAGTGTCGAACGTAGAAGAATCTATTGTACAAATTGCTAAAATCCAACAAATAATTGTTGCAATTAATGCTCTAAGCAAGGTTACCCATCTATATTTTGGCCTTCCAATATGGTTCTTGATAAAGAGATTGTCCTTAATTATGTCCGCCTTTCATAATTTTATTCGTTATTCTGGGTTTCAAAATGAAAATTAGATAACTGTTTTAGAATAAAAACTAAGACAAAACAATTCATTGTCTTAATTTTGAAGCATTTGAAGAAGATTAAGAAAGTTAAAGATTCATTCAACAACCCAAAGAAATTGTTTCAACTTGAACTCCTTATCACCAAAGTTGTTGAAAAATCAAACCTATATCCAAAGAATTATTTGAATCAAGTATTTGTGTTCAAGTGATAATTCAAGACTTCTTTTTTTATTCAATTAAAATTTCAATTCAGTTGAAATCCTCCTTGCTTGTCCAAGCCTTAATTTTAAGACATTCCTTAATTTGATTGTGTAGCTTTAGAAAGACTAGGCTTAGCCCAAGCCTTTTTTCAATAGAATGAAACTAACAGAACTATATCATATTTCAATTCCATTAATAATGTGTTTCTTGCTAATACATTATACATGAACGATTTTTTTAATTAATCTTTGGTAACTATAAGGTTATATATGTTCAAAAGACTCTTAATCATTTGATAATGAATTCTCAGCACCCTGCAAACGTCATCCTCGAACTCGGACCATCTATGAATAACAATCATCTCTTCTATCCGGTTTTGAAAAAAAATCTATATCGTCTTCTTTAGGTTCAAATATTGTTTGTTTTTCCAAAGCCATGCTTGAATCTATCTATAGCTTATGTCATTAAATGTAATGCTTATGTTTAGTGACTTATGTAATTAATAAAACAAACCTTGAATTTGTTTGTATTATAATTTAAATTATGAATTTATAATTTATGTAGTAAGATTTTATAACTAAATTGATTAATTTATAATATTATAACTTATAACATGTTGTCGTTCAATATATTCATTAATAACAATATTTTCACTAAAATTGTTGTTTGTTTATTGCAAATATTATACACAGGAGAAAATTAAGTGATTTGCGTATTATTCGAGTTTCTCAATAGGAGAAAGAAACAAATAATAAGGAATCGAGTAGTGTTGGATATTCGAAAGTTCTGAATATTGTTGAAGAAGATGTACAAATCGAAAGTTCTTAATTGTCGGTTGATTTTCAAAACTTACATTGGATTATTCTTATATAGTTGAAAATGGTTGAAGACGCGAGACTAGAGGACGTACAACGTTGAAGGAATTATACCAACTTCCTCTTGGAGCCGTGTGAAAATTTGAAGAAACAATGTCAGTCAACCTATTGGCCCAGAAGCACGTCTTCTGTCCGGTTACTTTGGCATGGTTGCACGTAATGCTAATCTTTTACCGATCAATTATGAGTCATGGCATGAAATGCCAAATAGTAGCAAAAATCAGGTTGTGGATTTTGTTAAGGTAATAATGTCATTATAATAGATAATCCATTATAGTTCAATAGTAATTTATATTTACTTTGAACACTTATGATATTTGTAGGAGAAATTTTCTTTAGATGTCTTAAACGATTATTTGAAGCAAATGTTAGGAAAGAAATGGAGAGACCACAAGAGTTCTTTAAAATAGAAATATTTAAAGAACCATCTCAGCCTTGAAGAGAAACTGTAAATTGTCCCACCTGGAATACTCAGGTATCAATGGGAAGATGCAGTTAGGTCTGAAGCAGCAAATTGTCCCACCTGGAATGCTCAGGTATCAATGGAAAGATGCACTCATGTTTGTGAGTTCAAAGAAAAGAGAGGTATGATGCATTTTTAAAAATAATATTATGTCATTGTAATATTGACTTTATAAGTACAAAAATTAAAATTGTAGGACCGAGAGCATGTTGGTGTTGCTAGCAGATAACAACAAAAGTTTACTCACACAGTTGGATCGAAGAGCTTTGCTTGTATAGCTAATGATATGGTATTATTTATTATTCACATAGTGATTTACAGTTGGTAGCACATAGCAACGAAAATTATTTATATTATTAATTAATTTTTTGCAAGACTTAATTTTTATTCTACATTGTAGGAAAATACGTCTAGTAGTAAAGTTGGACGAATAAAGCTCTTCGACATGACACATACAAAAAAAGGATGACACTCCTATGACTGATGAAGCAACAGAAATTATGGTATAATTATTGGACACAAGATTTGAATTATATTATATTTATATATATAGTATGACATTTTTATTTAAAATAATGATTGAATTGATTATTAGGAAAAATTGAGGGATAAAAGGGAGGAGTATGAAGCTACGACTTCAAGTCATGGTATTGTTAATGCAGATGAGATCAAAAATCAAGTTATTAATGATGTTTTGGGTCCTAGAAGATATGCTCAGGTTTGCTTTCAAGGATCATTCTTTGCCCTAACCAAATATTTTGGATCTAGTTCATCTCAGTACATGTCATCACACAACCAGTCTTCCCAATAAGAAGTTAGTAGTTTAAAACAACAGGCTCAAATAGATGAAAATTTTGCTCAAATGAAAGCTGAAACTGAAGCGAGGGAAGAAAATAGAAGCAGCATGTAAAAAAATATGAAGACTTTCAAAATCAACTTCAAGCTATGATGCATATAATTCGACAAAATCAACCCCAGAGTCCACCATCTTAGGTGTTATTTTAGATATATGCTATATTTATTCCAGTTAACAATGTTGAATTGCATTATATTTCACTTTAATGTAAACTTTGATTTATTATTATGGATATCAAGTTTATTGGATATTTCTACAAGTTAAAATTTTAAATTTAGGTAATAAAAGAGTGGAAAACAACATTTGAAAAATCAATTTTAATTAGCGGCGTTTGTATAATAAAACGCCACTAAATACATATTCAATACCGACGTTTTACATTCACAAACGCCACTAAAGAAAAGATAAATAGTGACGTTTGTAAAAAAGGGGTAGCTAAAAAGAATAACCTTTAGCGGCGTTTTACATTCACAAACGCTACAAACTTTTGCAGCGGTTGTTTTAGCGGTGTTTTTTGTGGCGTATTTTTTGTGCGAGACGGGTTTTTAGTGGAAAGTAAAAACGCCGCTATATGACTAAACAAACGCCGCTAAAAATCTATTTTGTTGTAGTGTATGACTAATATCATTGTTGAAAGATATAGTGAAAATGGAGATAGTTAACGAGACAATCAAAATGTATTTGATTCATATATATGAATATATATTAGACACGAATACATATAAAATTTGAACCTTAAGATGAAGGATGATTCTAGGCATATTTTAGGAGTTTAAATGCACGAGGGATGGTATGAGGAAGCGTTAATGGCAATGGGGGCATGAGAATGACTAGTTTTGTCTCACATGAAAAGAGAGATTTCCACAGAAGCTCAGAGTAGTTAGCTGTTTGTGTAACACCCCAGCCGTACCCGACCCGGATACGAGTCCGAGTTGTCACATTGACATTTTCAAAACCTTTATTCTTGTAAAATAACTGAACATTTGAATTTATATTAAGAAAATACAATCATATTTTGTTCAATTGTGTTTG